GGGGAAGGCGCCGGCGCCGCGGGGAGCTGGAGGCTGCGGCCAGGGGTTGGCGGCTGCTCCTGCAAGGCTGTGGCAAAATTCCCATGGAATTGGCTGGGGGGAGAGGAATGGATCCCAATGCTTACAAGAGTGTTTCCCTCAAATAAAGGAAGCTGGGGCTACACATTGGCTTTCTTCTCCCTTGCTTTCATTTTAGGAAAGCTTTTCCTGGGGTCCCGGTGCGATCGCTTGCACGAAGGGATCCTGCTCCCCACTGCAACCCCGGAAACGGAGGCTGTTGTGACAGGCAGGGAGGGTGGAAACCATTTGTTCCACCGGAAAAAAAAATATTGCATGCAGCACGATATTGTAGGCGGTGTTTGCATCCTGCTCTGCACGGGGCCATGGGCTCGCAGGCAGGTCCAGGAGCTGCACTGCGGGGTCAGGGGCTGCTGTCACCGTGCGCTCAAGATGCGGGATGTGGGATACGGGACAGCTCCGTAAACTGCTTGGAGGGATGAGCTTCGGCACTGTGTACTGGCCAGGTTTTTAGGGCTATTTTTCTTCTTGTTATGACTATTCTATGATGCAATTAAAGAAAAGCAATAAACCTCCACACATGAAGCATGCCTGGCTGCCGCGAGCAGTGCAGGGACACCCGGCGTCCCAGAACGGGTCAAGAACGGAGCCCTGGGGCCAAGAGCAGCTGAAACCCCAATGGTGGCGGCAGAGGGACAAGGGGAAGATGCTGGGATGGAGAGTTCAGGGCAGAAGGGCAGTGCGGGGGGACTGTCCCCAGCAGGGTGATGGGGACCCAGCCAGGGCGCAGGGGAATGGCACGAGCAAACCAGGGAGGGCTGAAAGAAGCAGCGACACAAGGGAAGGTTCAGGACATGATGCTTTTATTGGTCCCCGGGCGCCTCTCAGGGCTGGGGCGCAGCTTGCGGGGAGCCCATGGGGCTGGCGGTGCCCGGGCCCCGCTCACTTCTGCTTGTGCTGCGGCGCCTGGTAGATCTGCTGCTGCTGCTGCGGGCACTGCACCTGCGGCTTCGTGCTGGTGCCGTGG